GATCGCTGAGCGCCTTCAATCCCGAATCCCTGTTGCGAAAGCCACGCAGTTTCTCGAATCCTGCTCAATGCCCGCAGCCAAAGCACATCGCCTCGAATTTGCATTCAAACATTCAAAATTCAATTGATTCTCGATTCTCACGACGCTTCAATCAGATTCACATTCTGGTTGGTGGTTGTACTCGATCGTGACTTCAAGTGCAAGCCGGGCATGCCTGTATCAATTGTCCTTGCTATAGGCGCCTGTCTCAGACTTGCGCCGTGCGTGTGAGACAGCATGCTCAAAGTTGTGCGCGCGCATTTCTATATGAGCAGACACGCTGCGACACGCTGCGAGGGGGCTTCAGCGTGCACAGCAGCAGCATAGGGTCGTTGTTGTGGTTCACATTCACGAATCAAGTTCAGCGTCCACGCTTCGTGTTCCAGCTTGAACAGTCAGTAGGTTCTCTAGGCAGGTCAGGATTGCTTTCTGTGCCCAGCTGCATATAGCCGTATAGCCCGCTCGTTCCTAGCTCCATAGCTCCATTCAGGCGATCCATCTTTGAGTGTTGCACGAGGGCTTGTTCTGCGTTCGTGGTTCGCAAAACAGTGAGTGAAACGAGAAACATGCTCTTCTGCTGATCGCGGTACAAGCTCACAGCGTCTGCGCAAGTGAAGGGTCTGCTCATACTTACCGCACCCACGATGCAGCTGCACCTGCACGTGGACCAGTCTCCGTGGACAATTTGCTTTAGACTCAAAGCTCGGCGAGCGCTTCAAATGAAACGACGTAAAAGGGTGGGAGGGTTAGATGGCCCGGTCGGACTGCTCAGGCCTCGTTGTTGTCTGCTTCGGCCACGCTCTAGCACAGCCTACTGAGTGGACGTGAAATGCAGAAGAGCGCTCTGCGCCAATTACGCAGCGGCGTACATCTTTTGCTCAGGAGATGACTGATTTTCATCCAGGATTTGCAGATGGGATGCTAGCACATGCGAATTGCAGCCATCTCCATCGTCGGAAAGGTGACACCAATCAAAATGGAAGAACGAAGGTGCGGGTCCGCGAGGCGCGGCCCGTGTCTTACCTCTGCCTGCTTCTCTTGATTGCGCGCGCGTGGACGGCGGATCTTTACCGTCTATAGCTACACACAGCCGCAGTGCTCGCATGGACCAAAGTGTTCCGTCTTCCGTTCAGTCACGAGTCTCAAACACCGCAGAGGCGTACATAGCACGCCCCGCGAACGAACAGATTCGTCGTGAGTTCAAAGATAAAGAGGCCAGCAGCATATATGTGCCTCGATCACCTTCGAGCTGCGCGCAGCATCAGCAATCGTGAGTCCCAACCGCGAATTTTCGCGAATCGTGATGGTCAATTCTGATTCGCAGTTTTGAATCATGCATTTCACTGGTGTGGAATCGCTCTGAATACTTACTTGACTTGGATTCGCGCCGAACACGCCGTTGTAGTCGTGACGAATTGGTAGAAGTCGCGTGGAACTTCAGGCTTCACGAAGGGCGATCCGGAACGACGCTTTGGCAGTCTTTCTTCTCAGCTAGGGTCCTCTCGAAGCGGGCTTCGTTCGCGAAGCTCAGAGGCAAGAGGATGGCGGACTTGTGGGTATCTGTCCCTGGCTACTGTACGTCTCAGCAGGATGCAGCAAACGCGAAAGGTGCTAGCTGGTACACTCACGACTGTATCACGAGCTGCAGAGCTGCAAGTGATGATCGAGGAATACAGGCAGGCGGCAGGGGCCAATCCAGCTCTTCTCCTATTCTTACGAACACCGATGCCCTCACTCACGATCGGTGACTCGCTGACTCTACAAGATGATGTATGTATCGCTCATACAAGCACGGACCACTCGGGTCATGAGAATCGAGTACAACTAACTCAAGACTCACACGCCGTCGCTGAATGAACGCGAGTTAGGCGGCTGCGGGCTAGCTGGCGCTTCAAGGGACCCTTCGTAATCGTGTACACGTCTCCGGGCGGCTCGGATACGAACGCATGCTGGTGGATGGACCGGCACAGTCAGGAGGAAGTTCATGCATTCCCAATGACCCGCAAGCTTTTGGCGGAGCGCCCATGCAAATGAGCGCGTTCGGGCATGAGGCAGACTGATATCGTGTAGGGCGCAACCGTTGCATGTACGGTAACTACAGTATAATTTTGATTCTGATTGGTACCGCGTCTGCAGGCGTAGTCTCCTCGGAGACTTCCCTCGGCAATCTTTGATTGTCACAGCCATGCAACAGCAACGGCCTATCAATCAAAAATCGCGAATGCGATTTAGCTACGCATCCCTGTCTGATGACTGTTGCATGGGCACGCACGTTCGACTGGACGAGCTCTCGTCTTTTGCTCACTGTAGCTGCCCCGACGATCGCCAAAGTCTCTGTAACGGTGGAAATTGAATAGAGCGTGAAAAGGATGTGTTTCCGACGCTCGCGGCCAAGCCCCTGATCGAGCAGATGAGGTTGTGGGGATGAGCAATACCGTACATCGTTTGCTGACAGCCGCCGTGGTTGGCACGCGTGACTCGCTGACCCTGCTGATGGTCATCAAATCTCCTTCTTGGACAGCAGCGCAGACCCGACCGGACCGGCCGGAGACTTTGAACCGAGAGCGCGATCTGATGTGTGGCTTCATGGCGCAGGAGCTTGCATCATGCATGCGACTACTGCGTGCGACGTGCGACGTGCGCTCGCCGAGCTGGCTGCTCACCATGCCGACTGTAATTCCGCAAGCATTGGCGGTCTAGCGTGCCAAGGCACACGTTGGAAGTGGAGTCACAGTCACAGTGGTGGGTGCAGCGGTCAGCACACTAGTCCTGACGCATATCGGCAAGAAATGCGAAGTCGGTGGGTGTCGAAGGAAGCCATCCATCATAACCTCTGCTGAATCGCAATTCGCATACGCGTCTCGGTCATCATCGGTCATCCATATACAGCACAAGTGATAGTCAACATTCAAAACACACTTGTTGACTCTTTCTCGTTGCGCTCTGCCCATGCATGCTGCAGAGCCGCGATCCAGTAGCCCGCTGCCGCTTTGACTCACAACGATCTTGATTCAGAAATTTGGGGCCCAAGTTGCAAGACATTCACGCGATTCAATTACAAGCACCAACTTGGACAATCAGTCGATCAGGGCTCAAATTGAGCAATCAAGCTTCCGCGGTCGGTTGACAGACTGCGCCTTTTGCCCAAGCGCAGCCGTTTCGATCGCAGAAGAGAGTCTGTCTGGCTCTGAAGAAGGACTCGAGACTGCCCACACTCGCTGTTCCTTCCCATACCCATATTCGTCGAAATCCCTCGACAGCCGGAATCGAGGTAGATTCAGAAGCGCAGCCATCCACCTCGTCCCCGAAAGACTCTCCTTGGAGTGCGAGCAAGCTTTCGTGGAAGTCGACGCTGTTGAAGGGCCAACCTAGGCTCACACGAAAGGGGATCGAGCAACACCGACTTAGGCCAAGTCGAGGTCACAAGACATTGCAAGAACGGCAACGCGTGTTTCAGATGCCGCTCAGTACGCCATTGCGGCTCGGCTCCGCCTTGCTGCACACCACATCACTGGCCATTTGCTGGTCTGCCTTTCTGTCCTTGGACGACCTAAGTGACATCAGTGGGGTGGATGTCTCATTGCAATATGGAGGTGAGCAAGGTATGCGTGATGCTGCTGCTGGTGGTGCGGAGAGAAAAGGAGAGCTCGTGAACGCTAAATGGGAGGAATGCAGCTTTGTTCGAGGCAACTACATATATATATATATAAACACATATATATAGCGAAGCTGGATCATCGCTGACTCAAATTTGCCACACACTTTGATACGTTTGCTTGCTTGTGCAAATGCGCCCATGCCCGACATCTCGCCTCGTGCTGATGCTCATTCAAGGCCACTACCAGTGAGTCACGAACGCAACCTGCCTAACGATGTTTCGGCGCAAAGAGTCATGCGTGCCTGACGCTTCGTCTCTCTCTCTTTTCATGCTGATGCTGGCAAATTTCCTCAATTGGCAGATTCTTGACCGTGTGCGCGTTGAGGGCCACGCAGATCACGATGGGCGTCGCGCTTCTGCACGACATTTTGGCTCTTTCAGAGTTAGCGACGCTCAAGTCAGTTTTGAGCGTAGCAGTCTTGCCGGTAGAGACGCTGGTGTCTATGCTCTATTGGACTGTGCTAGCCATCGATCCAGATCTCCTCGTCCCTCCGAGATTGACCGACGATCCCAACAACCCCGGTCAGGTGATCAAAGAGAGCATCCGCTTGCCACTTAGCGCAGACCTGGCCATGCACGCCGCACCCGCCGTCTTTCTTCTCGCTGTGAGTAGCAGCAGCGGGGCTAATTGCAAAATCTCCGGCAAGCCGCTGCCTTACAAGTGCTAGGACGCTGTCATTTGCAGGACTTTTTGCTGGTATCGCCTCCCTTCCCAAAGAAGGTGCGACCTGCTTTCGTATCTGGCATAGCCACGGTCGCCTACTGCGTATGGTGCGAACGATGCGCAGCAGTGAATGGGTGAGTCTTTGCTGAAAGTGCACTTTCGAAATGACGCAGTCCGGCAATTGGCTCATCGGCATCACGTCTTCACCATGACGCCACTGTTCTGCTTCCCCCCCTAGCCACTATCCTTACCCGCTCCTGGGCTTGCTGTCCCTGTGGCCTAGACTGGGGCTGTATGCAGGCTGCAGTGTGACGATGGTGCTTGTGCTGGGCGCCGTGCGCACCATCCACTCCGCATTAGATCGACGGTACAAGAGGGTGTGGGATGACACTGTTGCAGAAACCATCGCAGGCAAGGTGGGCGAGCTCTCCAAGAAGCACAAGTAGGCTATCGATGCTGTTGCATGGCAATGCTCGAGACCTTAGTTTCAAGCTTCTTTACAACACGCCGGCGACTGCACAGAAAGAATCGGAGTGGTCCAGTGTACAACAGTATCGCGGGCCAGCAAAGCCATACGGGCGCGTACAAGTGATGCATAGAAGCAGCAAGATCGATGAGAATGCCCTCTTTGCAGGGCCATGTGACATAGCAATCAAATACGTAAAGGCCGATCTCACTTGCGCTCTTCCCACGCATCTTCCTGTTGCACAGCGTCTTCAGTGACGAGCGGTGTGACCCAACTCATGAGTTGATCGTCGACCACTCTCCCATCTCCCGATCTCTTGGCAAGTCTGCGTCTGACTCTGGCCGCCAAGCGTCCCACCGGCCCATGCTCATCCTCCTCCTCAGCAGCAGCAAAGTCCCTCAACTCTCCAGCTTCGTTGGCCGGATCGACCGGTATACCGTCCAATCCTATGACGCGATATTCCGGACTTCCTGGCTTTCCTTTTGTGCCGCCATTGGCATTGCGCATCTGTTTCATGATGCGACGAACGTACTCTACGTCGTGCGCTTCGATGGCGTGGTGCAGATCTCGAGGAGAGTGCAGAGCGGTGCTGCTAGTGGTGGGACAAGCAGCGCTGAAACGATGAGCAGCATGCACGTGCTGAGCTAGTCGAACCATGGTGAAAGGTAGATGAGGAGCTTCTCTAGGTAATTGGATGACCCGTCGAGCAGAGCCCCTTCTCGAATAGCTGACATCTAGACTTCGCGACGAAGCCTTGAGTGCGCGTGCCAGATCCCCTCCTTGCAAAGATTGCTTCGCAACATTAGTCGGCACGAGGGAGATACAGATGGCTACGTGTGCAGCTGTAGTCGCAAAGGGAACGCTACCAGGGATAAGCTGCCCTCGGCTGCCTACTACGGCAGTGCCCAATCCGTAGCCAGAATCACGCAGCCGGGTAGGGGTCACGACTTCGACCTGCACAGCGAGACTCAGCACACCAGCCTCAGATCTTTGTGAGCCTGCCTGCTGCTCGGTGGCCAGAGCTGCATCGGCGATTTCTTGAGGGCCAGCTGTGATGAGCGTGTTGCCGTACCATGCCATAGCTCGCAATAAACCCTTCCAGCTCGGCGCTCGGATGGTGAAGAAGCTGGATCGGTGGCTACCTTCCCTCAAGCC